CCTGCGGTCTGGACTCGGGAAGACAGGAAGCAGAAACTTCCCGAGTGGATCTCTGGGGGCAGCGCTAAGTGGGACCACTCGTGTTTGCGCCCCTTGGATTTCAGCTCCTGTGTCCTTCCTGTTGGGAACACCACGCCATATTAAGGTCTTCGTGGCCCCTGTCTTCACAGGTATCAATTCCTACTTTGGCGCGTCAGCTTTGCCTTGGGCTGGCTGGCCTGGTGCTCTAGCGGGCAGCAGATGCCATGGATTCCACGGCGCCAGGGGAGCAGATACTCCGTAAGGCCCTGCCGGCTGGTATCTGTGGGCACGAAGGCCAAACTTATATATAGACTGTGAGTGTGTTCCCGCGAAAATGACGCCTGGCGCTTCCAGGCTGGAAGAGCTCCAACACGGTAGAGTCGGTCGCAGGAGCTTCTCGCTGTGAGGAGCCACAGTGGGAGCTCAGCATCCGTCCTGGGCTGGCAGGTTAGACACTTAGTGGCCGCTCGTGGCCGGATCAGAAGACTCACACGGCTGGGCCCGGAGTGGCCTCCACTCTCACGCTCTGGCCGCACAGTCCTTCTGCCCGTTGTGCCAATACTAGGGTTGCCGATGACAGCCGCTGTCCAGTGTCACCTGGCTGGCATTGTGTCTCCTGTTTAATACTCCTTGCGCAGAGGCTCTCTGGGCATCAGCATTTTATACAAAGACCGTCCCCCTTGGTGCCTATTCCCATAGGCCTGCCCCCGCGCCTCATCCCAGATCTCCTTGTCCCCAGCCTCTAATTATTTTTTTTCCAAGCCCTAACCAGTCACCCAGGTCATCCGACGCTGCCCAGGGTCCGTATATATTCTCACTTTGGTTTGCTTGTTACATAAAAAGAGAATGACTGGGACCTTTGCCTCTTGGGAGGATATACCCTTACCACTGTCTTACATGCTGTATTTCCATTTTTTTTTTAAGATTTTATTTATTTATTCATGAGAGACAGAGAGAGAGAGATGCAGAGACACAGGCAGAGGGAGAAGCAGGCTCCCTGCAGGGAGCCCGACGTGGGACTCGATCCCAGGACCCCTGGATCACGCCCTGGGCGGAAGGTGGTGCTGTACTGCTGAGCCCCCCGGGCGTCCCCTCTCCTGCTGAGTCCTGCTTCCATCTTATGACAGGCTGTTGCCGGGCCCAGCTGACCCAGAGACTCTGACAGCCCATCTCGTAATGGGCTATTTTGGCTGCACGGTGACTTGAGTGTCCCAAGGTCCGGTGTTCCCTCTCTATCGAAGCACAGTAGCAAACCAGGATATTTTTTTCCCCAAATGGCATATAAATTCTCTGCTCTAACTGGTGTGCCAGAAGCTCACGGTCCTGAGTTGTGAGTCTCCTACCTGGACATGCCAGAAACTTCACACTGCGTTGTTCCTCACTCCGGTAACCACCAATGCCACCTGCTAGACCATAGGAGTCAGGTGGCAGAGCCACTTGCATCACAGCCTGGACCTATCGTGGCCTCTGTTCACTACCTGCACCCCCCCCCCTCCCCCGGGGCCGCTCTAGCAGGAGCACCATGGTACGGCCCAGGTACACAGGCATCAGGACTCTGGGCTCTTCTCAAAGCTGACAGTTTTCCAAATCACTCCGTATTAGAGTCCGAGCTGGATTCCTAGGTGTGGAACGTGCTGCTTCCAGAACCTGAAGAGGTCCAACGGTGTCTTGCTTCCTAATTGTTGAGGAGGAAGATGCAATAATCGTCTTTTACTTCTGGAAAGGATGCCCTGGGCCACCACGGGATCCCTCACAATATTATGGAGGTAGCAGGCCCCGAATTTTCACAGGGCTTGGGATTTCCTTCCTGTAGTACCTGTGTCTTACCAGGGTCTGCAGCATCTTCGCCTCGCGCTCATCTGGGCGAACAGTATGTTGTTATTGATGGGATGGGACCATGCAGTCGTCAGCAGACTTTTCAGGCCAAACTCTGTTCCACACGTTCCACAATCTGGGGCCCACAGCAACTGTCAGACGTGTGAGGAAATGAGTAACCGAGAGGGATGATTCTGATTTGTGCCACCGAGAGTGTGGTGATTTGTTACCCAACCCTAGATCCGCCATCGAGCTAGCAGCCCTCCCTTAGGCAGGTTCACACCCCGTCTTTGCGTAGGTGTAAACGCCATGTCCTACAAGATTGCGTATAAGCCAGGAAAGTCTTCTGCTCAATTTTGTTATTTTTAAAAATTTATTCAAATTCAATTAACATATAGTGTATTACTAGTCTCAGAGGCAGAGGTCAGTGACTCAGCAGTTGCGTAGAACACCCAGTGCTCACGACGCCACGTGCCCTCCTCGACGCCCGTCCCCCGTGACCCCGTCCCCCACCTCCTCCCTGCAGTGACCCTCAGTTTGTCTCCTGGAGTCAGAAGTCTCTCAGGGTTTGTCTCCTTCTCTGACTTCATCGTTTTATTCTTCCCTCCCTTCCCCTGTTATCCTGTTTTGTCTCTTCAATTCCACATCTGAGGGAAACCGTGGGTAGTTGCCTTTCTCCGAGTAGCTTATTTCAGGAGCGTAACGCCCTCTCACTCATCTGTGTTGTTGTAAATGGCAAGATTTCGTCCTCGCTGACGGCTGAGTGGTGTCCCGGTGTGTATAGACCGCGTCTCCTTCCTCCATCACCTGTCGATGGACATCTGGGCTCCTCCCACAGCGCGGCCCCTGTGGACACGGCTGCTGTGAACACTGGGGTGCAGGTGCCCCTCGGGATCACTACGTTTGTCTTCTGCTGAATTTTACATTGCAGCTCCCATCTGATTTCTTCAAGGGTCATGCTCATGAATTAACGATGTTGGCGCCACCACTCATTCATGATCCAGGCCCACACAAATCGTCCCAGTTCCTGGCAGTACTTGCTGGCTGGGTCCCAACAGCTTGTTAACGGGTTGAATTCTTTTTTTAAGATTTTATTTATTTATTCATGAGACACAAAGAGAGAGGCAGAGACACAGGCAGGGGGAGAAGCAGGCTCCATGCAGGGAGCCCGACGTGGGACTCGATCCCGGGTCTCCGGGATCACACCCCGGGCCTAAGGCAGGTGCTAAACCGCTGAGCCACTTGGGCTGCCCAGTGGGTTGAATTCTATCCCAGAAAAGATGTTGAAGTACTAAGCCCAAGTACCTGTGAATGTGACCTTATTTGGAAATAGGGTCTTTGCAGATGACCAAGGTCAGATGAATTCATCAGGGTTGGGTTCTAATTCAATATGACTGGTGTCCTGATAAGTAGCGGAAATTTGAACACAGGAACAGACACACGTAGGGGAAAAGCCATGTGGGTCTGAAGGCTGATGTGACACCCCTCCAAGCCAAGGACAGCAAACACTGCCAGCAAACCGCGAGAAGCTGGGAGAGGCGAATGCCATCTCAGACCCTCAGAAGGAACCAGCCACGCGGTCTTTTTTTTTTTTTTTTAAGTGTATTTTCTTTTAGTAACTTTTACTCCCAATCTGGGGCTCTAGCTCATGAGCCCTGGATGAAGAATCGCATGCTCTTCTGAGCCAGCCGGGCGCCCCCCTGCTATCATCTTGTTCTGACTTCTGGCCTCCAGAGACAATAAATTCCTGGTAAACCATCCTGTTTGTGGTGCTCTGTTAGTGCAGCCCAAGCAAACTAGTACAACACACAGTTCCCGTGAGGGGGAGGGGCTAGAGTTCCCTTTCAATCTCATGTTTCCAGCCAAATTATCCCTCGAAAATACCTGTGATTATGTGCTTAGTGTCCAGCGGGTGCGAGGAAGAAGTGCTGGGTAACGAGGGAGAGGTGAGGCACGTGGTAGGCTGGGGAGGCAAAACCTCTGAAGGTAGCCAGCCAGGTAGCAAATCCCTCCAACCCGTGTGTCCTGGTCCCAGCTTGCCCCGACCAGGGTCCCAAACTTAGCATGACCGAGCTGCCTGGGTTGGATGCTTACGGTCTTTGAGGAGTTAGTCCCTGGGCCTGGCCCTTGACTTTATGTGTCTCAACATGGGAGATTTTTTTTTTTTAAGATTATTTATTTATTCATGAGAGACACACAGAGAGAGGCAGAGACACAGGCAGAGGGAGAAGCAGGCTCCATGCCAGGAGCCTGACGTGGGGCTCGATCCCGGGACCCCGGGGTCACGCCCTGGGCTGAAGGCAGGTGCTAAACCACCAGGGCTGCCCATTGTTTCTTTATATGCAACCAAAGAGACTGCATGCCTTTCAGTTGTTGTGAGCCATCAACTCTGTTATTTTTCTTAAAAAAAAAAAAAAAATGAATAAAGTAGGTTCCACGTCCACCCTGGAGCCCAAGGCAGGGCTTGAACTCGTGACCCCGAGGTCCGGAGCTGGAGGCTTCACTGACTGAGCCCCAGGGGGCCCCTCGTTTTTCTCAAGGTCATCAAGGGTTCAAGGAGGAGCGGCCCATCCGCTGTGCCTCCTCGGAGCTACTGCCCCGCGAAGGCTTGCACCGGCCGCCTGGCTGCTCACCTGCAGCAGGTGCCCGCAGCCCGGCGGGGCCAGGAGGGGGCGCGACCCCGGGGGTCCCGAGGTCAGGCCGCGGTGAGGCCGCGTGAGGCCGCCGAGGTCAGGCCGGGGTCAGGCTGCGGGCGGGAGCGAGCTGACCCGGGAGGACCTGGGCGGGGTCCCCGCGGGGCGCCTGCTCCGGCCTGGCCTGGCCTCCGCCCGTCTCTGCGGCTCTCACCGACGAATACGTAAAATCTTAAAAACAGGAGAAATAAGGTGAAAGCCTGGGACCCAGGCCGCAGCCCCGCCGCGCGCCCGCCCGCCTCCCCGGCCGGCCCCGCCCCGAGGCCTCGGAGCCAATGGGCGCGAGCCTCGCTGTTGCTGGGCGGGCCGCCGCCCCGAGCCCCGCCCCCGGCCCGCGCACGCGCACTGTCCCTCCCTCCCTCCCGCCCCGCCCCGCCCCGCCCCGCCCCGCCCCGCGCACGCGCGCTCCGCGTCGGGCCTGCCGGGCGCTCGGGGGCGCGCGGGTGGCGGCGGGGCGGCCTCGTGCTCGCGCCCGTGCTCGCGGCCGCGCCCCACCCGCCGCCTCGGCTCCGCGGGGCCCTGCCGGGTCGGGCTGAGGGCCGCGAGGGGCCGCGCCCGGGGCCTCCGGCGCCATCCGGCCTGGTCGTCCGCGGGGCGCCGCCCGAGGCCATGGCCGCCCGCGGGTGTGCGCTGGAGGCGGTGCCGCTGCCCCCCGAGGTGCGGGAGAGCCTGGCCGAGCTGGAGCTGGAGCTGTCGGAGGGTGAGCGCGCGCCGACCCCGCCCGCCCCGGGACCCGGGGCTGACCCGCCCCTGACCCCGCCCCGCCCCCGCCCCGGGGGCCTGCCTGACCCCGCGCCAACCCCGCCCCCGGACCCGACCCTGACCCTAACCCTGGGCCCCGGCCCCGGCCCCGGGATCCTGACCTGCACCAGGGACGCCCACCCGGCATCCCGACCTGACCCCAACCCCAACCCCAACCCCAACCCCAGGACCCAGGACCCCGACCCTGACCCAACCCTCACGGGGACTCAGCCCCGGGATCCTGACCTGACCCGGACCCTGACCCCTGGACCTGGACCCCAACCCCAGACCCATACCCAGGGTCCTGACCCCGACCCTGACCTGGACCAGGGACCTGGACCCGGGATCCCGACCTGATCCTGACCCCAACCCCGACCCCAGGACCCAGGACCCCGACCCTGACCCAACCCTCACGGGGACTCAGACCCGGGATCCTGACCTGACCCGGACCCTGACCCCTGGACCTGGACCCCAACCCGGGGTCCTGACCTGACCCTGACCCCAACCCTGACCTGGACCAGGGACCTGGACCCGGGATCCCGACCTGTCCCTGACCCCAACACCGACCCCCGGACCCAGGACCACCGACCCTGACCTAACCCTCACCAGGGACCCAGACCCGGGATCCTGACCTGACCCTGACCCCGACCCCGGGTCCAGACCCAGGGTCTGACCCTAGACCCGGACCCCAGACCCAGACTCAACCCCGACCCTAACCCCAGACCCCAACCACAGGATCCTGACCTGACCCCGAGATCCCAACCCCAAGACCCCAAACCCTGACCCCAGGACCAGGACCCGACCATAGGATCCTGACCCGACCCTGACCCCGGGGTCCTGACCCCAGACCCGACCCCGACACCAGACCCCAACCCTGGGGTCCTGACCTCAACCCTGACCCCAGGACCCCGAGCCCGGACCTCAACCCCGACCCAGACCCTGACCCTGGACCCCGACCCTCACCTGGGACCCCAGCCCTCCCCAGAGATCTGGACGCAGCCCCCCCCAGCGCCAGTGCCCTGCGGGTCTGGGTGGCTTGGCCTCCAGCTCATGAGTCTGGGTGGGAAGGGGCGCCTCTGGGAGCTCCAGGCGGGGCCTGCTTCCTGGGGCGCGTCCCAGGGCCGGGCGCCCAGCACCCGGCACCTGCCTCTCCGCCGCGCGGCCTAAAGGAACACCTGCGGAGCCCTGAATGCTTAGAACGAGGTTGTTGCCCCATTTCCGGAATTTTAAAAAAATTTAAAAAAAGAAAAGCTGAATGAATGGTTGCTTGTTAAAGAGAGACGGGAGTGATTGCACTTCAGCGGTGGGCGGCTTCCTCTGGAATCCTCTCTCCCGGGCTTGCGTCCTGATGTTCTGTTTGGATCCGCGCTCGGAGCGAGCTCTTGCCCCGCGTCGGGGCAGTGGGGGCCTTTGAGGAAACGCGGCTCAATGTTTGAGTCTGTTTTTTTTTTTTTTTTTTTTAAATTTATGATAGTCACAGAGAGAGAGAGAGAGAGAGAAAGAGAGGCAGAGACACAGGCAGAGGGAGAAGCAGGCTCCACGCACCGGGAGCCCGACATGGGACTCGATCCTGGGTCTCCAGGATCGCGCCCTGGGCCAAAGGCAGGCGCTAAACCACTGAGTCTGGTTTTGAAACCGAAATGCATTTTCAGTTTTTAGATTCGATGGTTTCATAGCCCAGTTATTACCATGTCGGTGAGCGCGTGCGTGGGCGCCCCGGTAATGTCCCCACGCTCGGGGCAGTGGGCGCACGGGTACCTGCTCTGAATTGAACATTGAAATTGTTTGGGTCTGTGGCAGGTGTTCTTTAATGGAAGCGCGAGAAGGGGGTGGACTTGAGAATTCTTTGCAATGAGATGCTCTCGAGAACGAGAACGGGCTTCGGGGGAGGGCCCCGGGCTGCAGGCTTCACACAGCAGGTACCTTCCGCAGAGTGCTCCTAATTTCTGCCCCTGTTTTTGTTATTCCCTCAATTTGTGTTTCGTGGTTGTGTGTTCGAGGGCTTTGTAGGAGCTGACAGATGAGATTGGACCCCTTCCTGAAAGAACCTTGTAATTCATGTTACTTCAGCTAAAAAAATCTCATCCGTGGACTCCGTGGGTGCCGTCCCCACTTTGGCCGTGTGCGCAGCCTCCTCGATGAGTAAGGGGCGGCCGCGGGCGCTGGAAGGTGGCTTCAGCCCGGAGGGTGTGGACTGAGCGTTGACAGCGCAGGGTGCAGCGCGCCAGGGAGGCGGGAGCCCTGGCCTCGGTCCCAGCTTCTAGACTCGCCTGACACCTTTCTTTTGGCCCAAATAGGTCAGTGATTACGGGGCCCAGTCCTGTGGGGCCCTGCCCCCAGGTGTTCCCGCACCTTTGCGAGGAACCTTGTGATGTGGACGCAGGGCCTCCCCGGTGGGCGCGGAGATGCCCCGCGGTAGGGACGGCGGCTGGCAGCCGGTCCGCGCCCCCGGCCTCCCAAGCTTGGGTGAGGTCAGCTGTGGAAGGTGCACAGCAGCCTGTGGGCATCCCATAGCCGTCGGAGAGATTGCGGCGGAGCGCATGATCGTGCCCGGACCCGGGGAGGTGCCTTATTTGTATGATGAACGGGGTGTCATTAGTGAAGCACAGTCTTTTTTTTTTTTTTTTTAAGATTTTATTTATGGGGGATCCCTGGGTGGCTCAGCGGTTTAGCGCCTGCCTTCGGCCCAGGGCCTGATCCTGGAGTCTCCGGATCGAGTCCCATGTCAGGCTCCCTGCATGGAGCCTGCTTCTCCCTCTGCCTGTGTCTCTGCTTCTCTTTCTCTGTATCTCTCATGAATAAATACAATCTTAAAAAAAAAAAAAAAAAAAAGGAATCCCTGGGTGGCTCAGCATTTTGGCACCTGCCTTTGGCCCAGGGCTCGATCCTGGAGTCCCGGAATCGAGTCCCATGTCAGGCTCCCGACACGGAGCCTGCTTCTCCCTCCTCCTGTGTCTCTGCCTCTCTCTCTCTCTCTATGTCTATCATGAATAAATAAATCTTTAAAAAAATAAATAAATAAAAATAAAAAATAATAATAAAAAAAGATTTTATGTATGTATTCCTGAGACACAGAGAGAGAGGCAGAGACACAGGCAGAGGGAGAAGCAAGCTCCCTGCGGGAACCCTGACAAGGGACTCATCCCGGATTCCAGGGTCACGCCCCAGGTCGCCCCGGGTCGAAGGGAGACGCTCCACCCCCGAGCCCCGCCGGGCGCCCCATTGTGAAGCACAGTCCTACAGCAACCAAAATTCGTTTTGTTGTCACCGTTTAAAACTTGGATCAAGTAGAAGTAGGAAGCGCGCCTCCCCTCCCCCATCACACAAGGGGCGGTAGACTTCTGATCAGAATAAAGTCCTGTCGAGCAGGCTCAGGTTTGTCTGGAAGAGAACGGCGCGCACCGTCCAGGTGAGGCGGAGCCGGGCAGGCTACAGGAGAGCGGAGCCCGCAGACACGGCGCTGCCGCACGGAGGCTGGTGGGGGTAGAAACCTGGATAATCTGGAAAATCCTGCACAGCTTCCCTCGACCTGTACACCAGTAGGGACTAGTTGAAAGTGTGGCCCTGCCTTTGTTCACTCCTTTGTGGTCTCGGTCTCACACCCTCCCTGGGTTGTTGGCATTAACCACTGTAATCGGGGTCAGCCCTCAGGGGCTTCGGGTTGCAGAACGCGGGGGTTGCTTTCCTGTAGGGCCGCTTGCTGGCTTTAGGGTATAGATTCCCAGGAGGGAAATAAGGCAGCACTGCGGTCTCCCCCTAACTTTCCAGGCTGTTGCACCCTTTTTGGGATCTTCTTCAAATTAAGATGAAGATGAAGATGAAAGGTGGAGCTACAAACTCCCCACCCTTAGACACCTCCCAGCCCCCCCCACCTACCCTAGACAAACACACACTTCACACACGTGGCTCCTCAAAACCTGTGAGGATGTCCATGGGTGAAAGTGACGCTCTTAGAAGTGTAACTTTGACTTTAAAAAAGAATTAATTCCCAAACATTGGTGTTTTACCTATTATAGTGTCAGATTATCTTCTAAATACTTCACAACTCATTTTGTACAGTATCTTGGGGTTATTGATGCTGAACTGCCTTAAAAACCTGGTTGGTGGGATGCCTGGGTGGCTCAGTGGTTGAGCGGCTGCCTTGGGCTCACGGCGTGACCCTGGGGTCCCGGGATCGAGTCCCGCAGCCAGATCCCTGCAGGGAGCCTGCTTGTCCCTCTGCCTGGGTCTCTGCCTCTCTGTGTGTCTCTCATGAATAAATGAATAAAATCTTGAAAAACAAAACAAAACAAAACCTGGATGGTGGTGTAAAGTGCTGCTTTGTCTGAGTGGCCTGCGTGCTTTAGAAAGGAAATTCCTACACAGTCGACTACATTTGTTCCACTCCTGTTTCTTTATTCCCGTTAATCGGTCTGTTTCAAAGCTTTACCTTCAGTCTGTTTCTGGTTTTACGCCTTCTGTTAACAGGGCCTTAGCCTGGATGCGGGCAAACAAAAAGGGGAAAAGCTCTGTGGGTGTAGAGGAAGGGACTTCTTGACAAGCTTTTTTCCTCGTTAAATGTCTTTAATGTCTGTAATTTGTGATATGATTCTTAGTATTCAGAATGGGAGCCTGACCTTGCCTTTACATCGTTGAGCACTGGTGGTGCTTCCTAAATACTTTGTGGTGTATCCAAGTTCTCCCGGCCAGATTCTTTTCGTCCCTCAAAGCCCAGCCCAGGTGCCTTCTTAGTTTGAACCTTCCCTGATCATGTCCGACGTGGCTACTTTCTTGGATTTCTTATCACACTTTCTCCCGCTTTTGGAATTCTTGGCACTTACTGTTTTTTATATTTGTTATTTGTATATATATCTCTGTGCTCCGCGACTGCCGAGTGCCCACTGGGTGCTGGCCGATGCTTTGGCTCTCCGGTCAGGGTTGGCTCTGTTTCTCCAGTGGTCCCCTTTGCACACTGTTTTA